ATGTTTGATCATTTTCAAGTGAACTGCCCATACATTGTGTAGTAGCAACATAGGCAAGACTGTCAGCTTTAACCAGTGATGCAACTGGTGCAGGAGAGTCAACAGCAAATGAATACTTCTGCCACAGTTATAAGAAGCTAGAGAAGCCCACTTCAGGCTTGGCTACTAAATTGGGTCATACAACAAACAACTTGCACCAGAAAGTTTGGTGGTCAGTCCAACTCTTTCAGGACTGTATGGGACTTGGTATATGTCTTTCAGAGTAAAAGGACAGGAGTTAAAGTTCCTGATTAATAAAAGAGTGACCAGAACTCTGGTTTTTCTTACAGTATCTCAGGTGCTGTAATTGAAACCATCACTTGAGGCCAGATGACACAAATTTTGTTCTGGTGAATGGAAGAAAAACTAGATGTCTAGAAGGCAACACTTACAGAATGAAAGTAAGGTTACTGGCCTTGTTTTGGTAAAAAACATCCTTGCGATGGATGTACTGTAGAACTTATCTGTCAGTTTCTCCTGTGCAACTGGTAAAATGTTTAATGTGGTAGTTCTCAGATATTAGCCAGATTGAGCCTAGTAACATTGGACTGCACAGGTATATGTGGGAAAGCAAGTGACAGCTCCCTCATGTACACAAGTGGTGTTTCATGTACTTGAGAATACTTGTTTAGCTCCAGTTGTGAAGGAAGGAGGAAAGTGTTCTCAGGTTCTTCATTGATTTTGAATGAGCAAATGCAGTAACCTTCATTGATGCCTTACCTTACCATTACTGCAAACAGGTGAATGCATTGAAAGGAGCCCAATGGTTCAGTAATTTAGACTTGGTATCTAGATCCTGGAATGTCAAACTGGATAATGATAGTAGACCCAAAACTGCTTTTAGTGTGAGAGGTGACTTGTATGAGTTTGGAGTAATGTGCTTGCTACTTTCAAGAGGTTAATGGAACTTAAACTGAAGGGACTATAATGGGAGAAGTGCCTGATCTATGTGGCATTGCAATGTAACCACGTTTGTAGCCACTGAATGTGCAGGGCTGTCCTGGTCCTCCCATGGGTTGCATGCTGCATCCTATTCTGATCTAAGCAGTTTTTTACATTAGTTCCCATAGATTTCGTATTGAATGTAACAAAGCATAGCATTTAAACTTAAGAGGTTAATGTTATAAACATCGTCAGTAGGAACCTTACATGATTGATCTCACCTTAGAAGCATAGGTTATTAACTTGAGAGAGAGGTGTTAGGATATTAAGAAATTTGCCAGGCCTTTCTAAAGCTGCTGTAATTCAAACTAAACTTACATCATTCTTTAGAGAAGTATAAATTAGAAAAATAACAATAAAGATTATTAGTATGTGACAGTGTTCAGTTTAAAATACAGTTAAGCTCTATGACTTAAACATACAGTGCAGTTTTTTACAATTTTATTATATCATATTATTGTAAGCTATATTTCCAGTGTTTGGATTTAGATGTTTGCTAGAGGGCATACAATGTTATACTTTTGAAATTCTGTGTAGTGATTAGAAAGTGAGTATAATATAAATATGAGTGAGAAGTTAATGAGTATTGAGTTGCTGTGAAGTATTCAGTGAGTGATTAAGATCTGTGTTAGTTGTGAGAATTATATCATATGTTAGTAAGGAAACTTGTAAGTTAACTTACTTGTTAATTATGCATACATAGTACATGCTAAGGAAGAAATAAATTAAATTGTTATCATTAGGTGGACTGAACTTGGCATTAATTTTACCAAATAATCCAAAAGAACCTCCTCAATGACAGAACCAATTATAACAATATTTAAATTTTCCACTTTATGAAATTATTTGTTACTGCCTTATCATCCATTTTATTTTCAAGCTACTTTTGTAAAAATATTTCCTTTGGTAATTGTTAGTACAGTTAAATACTTGTAAATAAATCATAAGCATAAATATTTTACTGCCTGATAAAAAGTAGTAAATACTAATTTTAAATAACTGTTTATTCATTTACCAACAGAAAAATCTTACATTTATAGAAGCATGAAATACAGTGTGTTTACATGCTTAGATTTAACAATTGATCTAAACAAAGCATGAAAAAGTTCCTTAAAAACCTACAAAAAAAGGAAAAAATCACAAAATGTGTTGAATACCATACATTTATAAACTCTTGTGCTAATAGATGAGAGGCAATTAATTCAGAGAGTGTAAGGCTAAGATTTTTTGCTGAAATAAACTTCTTTTATAGTAAATGTGTTAATGTATTTTCTTAATATTTGTGACCTTAGTCAACAAATTAAACTCTGTTGTATTATTTTCAAGTGGTGCAGTTAAGTACTGCATTTAATGGTTATAGGATTGTTACCATGATAACCGTGAAAATTTTCAGGTATTTATTAAAAAAAAATACAAATTTTTTGATATCTCAAAGACTGCTTATTTCAGATTTTTACGTAAGGTATCATATCAAAGCTTGTGACACAGACTTTAATTGTATGTAATTAGTGTTGCAAATCAACTGATTTGCATAATGTTAATTTTAATATCTTGAAATTTCAACCACATGTGATGTAACGTGCAATATTTCTTATAACAAATGTCCATAATTACAATATAAATTAAATTTTTATTTATTTTGATGAAAAATATATATAAAATGGACATTAAGTTATAATAATCAAATCTTCCGTATCTACTTCATTGGGTATTACTGGTCTTTTTTTTCATGGAAAAAGTTCCCCAGAGTGTTTAGGAAGGGTAAAAGTTTGGTGGCTTTAGGGTATCATATTGCATAGTTTGCTGTTTCTGCCCTTTACTTGAACTATTGTGCTTTAGGGTTAAAAAAGACTTATTAACAATGAAAATGGCATTTCACACAGCTAGAAAGAAGATGAATCAGTCACTTAAGAGAGAGTTGTAAATTTTAAGAGAAGTCCTCTCCTGGACATTGGACTTCTCCTGATGCTGCAAAACTCCATGTCTTCAGCTATCTCATTACAACCAACGAATCAGGAAGGAAAGTTGCTGATTTCATCCAGAAATTTGTTCATGCTCTTTCCCTGACCTCAGTTTGAGGAAAAGATGGATGACTGCGACTGAATAGGGAAGTCTGTACAGGGTTACCAGAATTATGCCTGTCAAAGTAACTCCCAGGTCTGGTCAAGATTGCTCAAGAATTTTGGAGAGAGATCAGAAGTGCCATTTGTGGACAATGTCCACCAACAGAAGCTATTACACCAGCATATGAGAAGGTGAGGATCAAATGGAAAAGTAAATGGACTTTGTACGAGTGGTGAGCCTCTCCATGCCAGGAGATATACTGTTGAGACAACTATGGGTCACAGAGGGGTCAAGCAGTGCCAATGGATGAGCTGCAAAGCCCTTTTCATTTTGCACTATAGAGCAGAAGGCTATTGCTTGTCAGAAGTCTGAGTCTCTGAGAGTACCTACAATACTGTGCGCATAATATAGAGGACATCACTACCAGATGATGGCTAGGAAATTATGAAGGAGAAGGTCTGGTTATGATCATGGGCTCCACCAACATTCAAGGGTACAGCAAAGGAGGATTTGGACCATTTCCTCAAGTTTTCATATGAAATAGCTAGACTCTGGAACAGGTTGAGCAATGCTTGTTTCTGAGTTTAGTTGGTCCAGTCTTTGACTCCATCAAGTACTTGAACTGTAGGACTGCAAGACATGCACTAATGAGGTTTAATCCAAAGGAAAACAGAGCAATACATTGTTCCAATTTCAAGGCTTTGAAAAGGTGTGCCACAGAAAGTTTAACTGCAGATAATCTGCATCTTTTGCTTGGTAAATCTTATCCTGCAATAGCCTCAATTGATTGTGAGGATATACTTTTTGACAAGATTGTGGAAGAGTTACCCAGTGAAATGATGCAGCATCAACTGTGTTTGAGAGATCTCACTTTAACTGAGGCTGTTTCTATCACAGTGTGGTACAAAGCTGGAACTTTGAACTGGTCACAAAAAGACAAAAACCTGTAGTAACACTGCAGTGACTTCACTGTCAACTGAACTTCTTACCCACATTATACATACATACCCTATACATACTTGCAGAACTGATGACAAAGTAATCCATGACTGTGGATGTAAAATTTATTGAGTATGGCAAAGGATGAGGCTACAAGTTATTCCAGGTACACAGCATTCAGCCATGATCTTGACCAAAATGTGGGGACACAGCCAGAATTGTGTATCCAGCTAGCCACATCAGATGGAATAGTGCTTTTTGTATCTGCTGTACTTTTAAAAGGTGCTAGCATGTTAAAGGTTCACATAACTGTACCCAGTCTCTTTTATTTCTGTGGTTCATGATTGATTTATTCTATGTGAAGCATTTCCTTCAGAACTTCTTGTTACCTGTGTGAATTTATAACTTTCTTTTTGGAAGTCAGTGCACCTGAATATCACAGCAGCTTGTGCTTTTCTGTTTGTTTTAAACATAAATTGATTAGAAATTTGTTTTACATTTTCCAACAAGTTTTTAAGTGACCATAACCACAGTTGGCATTAGCTTTCAAAATTAATACTTTTTTATATGACTTAACAAGCTGTCTTTGACGGTACATATTTAATTTTAACTGTTCTTGCTTAAAACTTTCTATCTTTTTATTGTTCATGTTCTTAGTCTTATCTGTATCTTCTTCTTCTATGAATATAGGAATCTTATCAAAAGGCTCTGACTTTAAAAGTTGATCACTTCAAGTTGAATAAGTCTATTTATATGCTTGGCTTCTAGATCTGAATTCCACTGATTAGGATCTCTAAAATTTGTACTTTATGGTAGTTACCAGCAGCTTACAGATGTTTTTGGAAGCCACCCACTTGTAGTTATTTGGGAACAAAGACTAGAAAATGCTGAATATTAACATATACACCTTGATGTGTTGTTTATTGTCTTTAGTTAGGTGAGTATTTATTAAATTACATTTTCAGATATGAAAATGTTAATGTTTTTTTGGATAGTAATATTTCTTACTGGATTAGTTCTAGGACTTGTGGAACCAAGTGCATTGGGATGTACACTTACCCATGAACATCTGTCACATTGTGCCACTGGAAAACCTTTCCAACCCACGACACCACCAGGACATGAAAAATACACAGATGCCCCTTATACCTTGGAGAATTTGGGATGGATACGACAGTATCCGTAAGATGGTTTTTAAATATAAATACAAAATCTTTGATACCAACTTCTATGGTGAAATTAGTGTATTTAGTTAAAAAATTAATTAAATCAATATTTTTGTATATTACCTTCTTTTATTAAAAGTCTTAAATGTGTAAAGATAGAGAGCTAGCACTGATATTTGGATTGAGTTCTTTGTACTGCACATTTTTGTAAATGTAATAAAAATCTCCTGCAGAGATATCAAACAAAATATTGCACAATGAGAATGCCTGGAAACTTTTTTTTAAGGTATGTCAAGCATACCTAATATTAGGATATTAATATTCATTAATGTTTCTGTATTGGTATCAATAACATTTTTGTATTTAGGTATAATTTATTCTGGCCAACCCTGTAGCTCAAACTTAAGTGACATTGTGACAACAATGTGTTGTAAAATTCATATTCCATGATGATACAACAAAAAGATATGATCTTTCTCACAATATTGCATGTAAATGATTTTGGATCATAGCAGAGCTTTTTTTTCAATATTTTTGAATAATAAATACAAAACAATCAATCTTGTGTTTATCAATTTGGTTGGTCTTCCTTTCACATAAACGTTTTATGCCGTGATTGGGAAACAACCACTAACATGTTGAATACACTTTTTGTCCTGCCAGTATAGTAAAAAAAGTGTGTGATTGTTTGATAATTATAAATTTAGTTAATAAACTATAAAAACTTCAGAATTGCTATTTCAAGCTGATACATGTTGGCTTAATCTAAAATTGTACACAAACCAATTAGGCTCTTTTCTTTTTGAAATTCAAGGATTCACAAACCATCCCGCCACTTTTTTTTTCAGCTTCAAAAATTTAACAAACCATCCCGCTTACTCTTTTCCTCCACTTGAAGCACTGAATAGAAGTTATTATTGGTAGTTGAATAGTTATTCACAATGTTTATACAGTTTTATTATTCATAGGGAGAGCATTTTGAAGCTATCTAATTTTGCAGCTAGATTTAGCATTTGGTTTAGTGATATAACATTTATTTTCATGCACGTGGGAACAGGATGCATTAATCCCCGTCATAAGAAGGCCCGTGTCACAGATGGTCACTTTAGAGCTTATGCTCATATTGGTGTAGTTGACACTCAAACTATGCCCAAGACTGTGTGATACAGTAATCTACACTCTACACTGTCAGTATGAAGAGGCAGACTATCTTCCTTTGAATTAAAGAAACGTATGACCACTTACGTGAGTAACTAGGTTTGTGGTATATTAAACTAAGATGGCTGAAGTTTAGACTATAATTTTTGGAGTCTTTTGCTGTATAAACATCACTTTCTACAGTTATCAGCATCTTACAAATGTGTTTAGAAGCCACCCAGTTAAACATCACTTTCTTTTATTTGAGATATATACCTCACCATCCATCCTACCTCCCTGCTTCTGGTCTGTGTGTGTATTTACCTTATCAAGAATGAGCTTTTGGTTTATATAAAGTGTTCAAGAGGGTACTGCACAAGGAGATTGTGTCACACTCCTGTTGGTGGTAAGTATAGTTTAATGCTGATTGCATTATAGACTACCACATTATTACATACAGAGAATAGAGCTATTGCACTGGCCTAGCACATGCACAATAAACAAAAACTTTTCAGCAGTAAGTAGTTCCAAGATACTGTCTGATTGTTCTGCCTTTCAGGTATAGTGAAGGTTAACTTCAGACAATACTACTTACCTCTCCACAGGACAAGTAGCTAGAATTATACATTGAAAATATGGTAGAGAAATTGATGTGAAGAAATAAATAAAAAAGATGAGATCCTTTGTGAGCCTATAGTGAAAAAAATGGAAACTCATTGGTTGTGTCTCCCACAATGTGAGGGTGGAACCAAAAGAGAACAGTATCTGCTAAAAGAATGCATCCCCTTCAAGCAGAGAATACCTTTTGCCTAATACAACTTGTTGTTAGAAAAATTCTATTAAAAGAATTTCCTGGTTTTTTACTGAAATGTCTCAAATGTGGACAATAATTTAACCCAATGACTACCAGCTACTAACTTTCTTAGTAGGCAATGCAAGTCTTGCTATATTTCATTCCAACAATAAAACTAGTGGATGAATATGTTTGAAACTTCATAATAACTTTGATAAATGTATGTAGTTTAAAAACATAAAGCCTATTACTTTTAATAAATTTAGTTTTTTTGCAATATCATGGAAAATTACATTAGGAAATGGTAT